ATTTTATTAATAGTATATTTTAGCTTTTTTTTTTTTTGCCTTTGCTAAAGCTGATTTTATTAATAGCTACTATCTTTATTTGTGTTTTTAGTTAATAAATTATATGTAACTTGTACAAAATAAGTGTGCAACTAGCTATATATATAACTTTTAATATCTATTTAAGTAGTTTGCCCAAGAATTTTATACTAGCTACTATATTTGTAATCTACTAAATAATTACTTATTTAAATACTCTGATTCTTATACTGTACTCAGACAAGTAACATCTGATTTTTGTATAACTAAGTATTATCAAACCTAACATTAAGCCTCTTCTTTTGTATATTTATTAGATTGTTACTTATTCTAGAACAAGTTATCTAACTATAAAACTCTAAGCTACCTTCTTGTTAACTACTTACTTACTCTATGAAATATTAACAAAACTAGTCTTTGTAAAGTTTATCCAAAGCTTAGTATTTACTTTACAATATATTCTTAGTATTTTGTATACTTCTGCTTTGTTTTCAGACTTCTAATTCAGATAGCCTAATAAAACTGTAATCTGTTCTTGATATATCAAGCCAACCTAATATCTTTTTTTTCTAGTTTAGTTCTAGTAGCCTAGTTGCAGTATCTCTTACTTTGAGATTCTTGCTTATTTAGTTCTTTTATATTAGTATCTGTTTTCTAGATCTAGTTTTTATAATAGTACTGTTAAAAATTCATATTACTTCTTTACTTAGGTTTTCTCAAATAGGCTTCAGTTTCTTAGTTCTATAGATTTATATGATCACAAGAACTTATCTTAAGTTTATATTACCTGGTATTAGTTTGCATCTCTTTGTATAACCAAGATTACACAAATACCTCATGATCTGCCAGTCATGCTAGTATGATTATAGTTAGAAATATCTTATTCTAACTAATTAATAGAAAAGTTATTGCTATAATATATAAGTATTATATAGATAATTTATTCAAATTTTTGTCATTAATGAGTTTTGAACTCACAACCTACTACTTAGAAGGTTGACAACTTATCTACTTTACCAAGTTGTTATACTTTATATTTTAGCTAATAGTTATTTATATAATAATTACAAAAACAATTATAAAATAAATATATAATTAGTTATTTGTACAATTTTAATTATAATTTATTTTAAATAATCTACTTGAAAGTTTTATTCTAGTTGCCATATTGTTAATATTAAAAGTTTTATATTTTTGATTATAACTTTTAATATACTAAACCAAATTAGATAAAACAATTACCATTAGATTTAGCTTATCAAGCCAGTTTTAATAAATATAAAATTATATAATTCTGATTATAAGAATATAAGATTAAAATAATTTTGATGAAGTACTAATTCTAGTATATTTAACTTTAATATAAATAGTTAAATTAGCTAAGTTTCAAATCTTTTAAATCTTTCAAAAAGTATAGATATTACAGATATCACAGATTTTAAATACATTATATATATTATTTTCTAGCTTTTTATTATATATACAATATCTTTTATATATAATATATAACATATATCTTTTATATTTTTTATATTTTTTATTATTTATTACCATATTTAGTATATTCCATTAAAATAACTTATCTTTATTGTAATAGTATATATATATATAATATTTATAAAAATATTGTTTTCTAATTCTTTAAAAAAGTTAAATATTTTAATAGATAATAAATAAATACAATTTTTAATATCTTTATATTCTATTAATTGTTACCTCTGTTTTAAAACACTATTATTATATATCTTGTTAATTCTTGTTATAAATTGTTTAAATCTGTTAAGTTATAATTTTCATACTTTAGTTGAACAACTTTTTGTTATTATTAGTAAAATAAAAATTTTTAAATTATCAATATTTAGAACCTATCTTTAGATTTTTTATTTAAATACTTAAATTCTATATTTATTTTATTCTATTAACAACTTTGATAAATAAATAAAAATATGCATAATTACTAAATTATATTTACTGTAACTTTGTATTAAACTTACTAAAACCTTCTGTATTTTATATTTACAATTAACCTAAGATTACTTTGAACTAAACTAGTACTTACAGTTAAGACTAACCACTAAATTACTATATTTTTATCTAAACTTTAGTATTTATTTTTTTAATATCTTCTTTATCATTTTTTACTAACTATTACTCAAAACTAACAAAACTTTTCTAACTACTAATTTAGATAGTTTGATATAGTATATAGTATTAAAAGAATTACAAAAACTAAAAAATTTAATAATTAATATATTGTTATTTTTGAATCTAATTTGAATTTCTAGAAGAAAATATAACAAAAGTTGATTTTCTTTATTTAACTTAACAAATAAGCTTGTATCTTGTTTGATAATTAATATATAATTTTAAATAACTTTGTGTGTTAATTAATTTTTATTACTATTATTATTATTATATTCTACATTCAACATATAACTGTTTTTGTTATTGTTTTTTTTTTGTTATTTATTTTATTTGTATTACTGTATATGTTTTCTAAAGTCCAAGAATTGGTTTTATTTTGGTATTTTGATCAATATTCTTTAAACAGTTATCTTTGTTTTTTATCACTATTACTAAAACTAAATTATTCTCTATTACTGTTTTTTTTTCTTGAACTGTTGTAATATTGTTGAGTTTTGCTTTATTTCCTTTTTCTGCAAATAGGTTGTTAGTTTCTTTTTCTCTTTTAGTATCAAATTTTCTTGTTTTGAAATTTTTTTCTGTTACTAAAAACTTTACTTATCAAGAAAACTTTCTTTTTCTCAAACTAAAAACTTTAGATTTTAATAGTATATTATTTTTAGAATTTAAATTTCTTATTAACAATTTTATAATTACAATTTTCTATTTGTTTTTCCTAATCAGTAATAAACAGAAAAGAATTTTTTTTTGTATTAGTTTTTTATATAAGGTTTTTTTAGTTTTTTTTTATTTCATTATAAGAAGATATTATCAAATTAATAATATTCTATTATAAAATAATAATTAAATATATTTTTGAATCAGTAATATAAATTGAATTCATGTAACAAATGCTACATAAGTTTAAATTTGTATAGATGTATATTAATGCTTTTCATATATATAACATACATATAATTTTTTTTTTTTATATCTTTGTATAAATAAAAATTTTGAATTTATAACATCAACTTATTTGTAAATGCTTATACAAGATGTCAACTTAATACCTTAAATCTAAAATTGTTTTATATATAAAAAATAACAAACCTGCTCCCAAGAAAATTTATACACCTGATTTATTACTTTTGTGGCATATCACTTTTACAGCAAAGAAGGAACTCGGATTGTAACATATATGTTTTTTTTGATCTTACCTAGTATCACCGTCAAAATTTTCACTTTCACATAACAGTGTTAAAAAATCTTTAAATTCGTTTAAGTTAAGGTTAGCATTCACAATAGGGCTAGGTTTTAGTTAGAAAAATAATAGTAAAATCACTTGAGGAATTTTTTTGTTAGAGCGCAAAAGGTGGTTTCTTATGCAAGTTTTTGAGAAATATGCGATTTTTGAAAAATGAACGCTTTGTTTTAATCTTCCTGATCGTGTAACGGTACATTAAAACGAGACTCGCTATTGGATGATCATCACGTGAAAGTGAAATTTGACGCGATCCTGGGGTAGTTATTTTTTTTTGAAACTTATATGTACTTAAAAATAATGCAACACTTGATTTGTAATAAATGCATAATTATCTTTGCATTGGCAATAACTATCGAAATTTTAATATTTTAAAAAGATACTATTTGTGAATAAAATAAAATAAAAATTGAAAAGAAAAACTCGAAATTGCGCGAAATATTGCGATATAAAAAAAAATTTAGTTTGTTGCATTATTTTATGATCGCCACTGTAGTGCATTGTACGGAATATGGTATTTTATAAAATTTTGGAATGACACGACAAAGTACGAAGATACATATATATTTAAAGATAATTTCATACTGTATTGTATAAAATACGACACAGTACACCACTTATAGTAATGCAATAAACGATTAGAGAGGATTATATAGTATGTAGCAGATACCAAATTCGCTAACCGCTATTGATGTGATCCGTAGGTCAATGATGCCCGTGGTAGTAGTAATGTTAGAAGTTGGATTTGGTTGTACTTTGATCCCGTGTTTGTTGAAGATGTAAGACATGCAGTTCGCGTAAGGTTGAGATGGTAAAAGGGAAAAAGTGCGGTGTAAAATACAAGGTTAAAATTCAACACCAATTGCTCTACTCACCTTTCGAACGTTCATGGGATCACTGAAAATCAGGCTAAAATAAAAATGATTGGATCATAACTGATTCTCAGCCACTGAAAACACAGCTTTTAAAAAAAGTTAGATCTAAACTTTAAAATTCCATGTATTAAATCTACAAAGAAACTTGTACATATTGCTTACAACCATTCTTTAAAATTAATATGAAAAAAGTAAAAAACGATTCGACTTCTGTATCTTTAACTTGTAATCTTTGGATCGGGAAAAATAGACAAGTTTTCTAGGCATAACATGTTCTTACCTTGATCATGAATTTCAAATTCATGAGAACACATTTTCAGTCGAGCATATCCGTCATTCACATGCCGCCTAAAACATGCCTTTCATTTTTGGATGAGTGGGAATTACGTGATAAGGTTTTCATGATAACGGTAAGAACATACAAAAAGCTGTTAAAGACTTGAGAGAATCGGTGAAAAATGGTTGAACATTTGGACGTTTGGATATAGTAACGTGACAATACTGATTAGCATTACTAAAATATTCTCGGAATACTTTACCATGGCTTATATTACATTAATAAATCAAGTGAATATAAGTATAAATTTATTTATTTTGATTGAAAAAATAGTATTCATGTTATATCTAGGAATAATTATTATAAGGTATCTTTATCGGGGAGGAAAACATCGGCTTTCTAAATTTCAGGTTTTTTGGTATCACTTGATTTGTATTTTTTCGGGTCAAATTTTGGTACTTGGTTGCTCCTTTATTCACAAGATCCTAAAAGTATATTGTGTAATTAAATGAACTATAATAATAAATATATGAATTACTTTCAACTGCCTACCTGAATTGTAACCATCACTTGAAAACAGTTCATAAGTGTTCCCCAAGTTGTTGGATCCTCTGGAAATCTAAATTCTCCGATCAATATCAGACGATAGATCCCATCATAAAGAAGATCAATAACATAGCATCTGCCAATATAACCTAAAATGTAAAGAAAGTTCATAAATAATTCATTTCATTATGGCAAAATTTTTGTGCATGCCCTTGGTCACCGTGCCCACAACCCTACACACATTACATACTTACCGATAACATGAAGCC